AGGGGCTCCCACGTGGGAGCCGCCGGCTTTAACCCCTGCTGGCCCGGCGGCGACACCCAGCCCTACCTGTGCCTGGGCCCTGCTCATGGCGGACCGCGGGGTCGCCCTGCGCTCCCACCGCGGGTCCCGGGGCAGTCCCCACCCACCTCAACGCTTGCGCCCGCTTCCCGGGTGCCTCGGGGCAGCGCCCCCCGCCCAGGCCTGGACCCGGTTGGTCGGGGCTCGTCCCAGGTCCGAGGAGAGAGCTGAGTGCTAAGCGCGGGGGACGGAGGCGGGCGCTGGGGACTTCGGCAGCTCCTCGTGTGGCCCACGGGTCCCTGCCGGAACTCCGGGCTCTGCGGAGCCTGCGGCAAGACTTGGGCTGCTTCTCACTTGGTTAAAAAGGTGGGTCGGCCATTCAGACTGGCTTTCCTTCCAGCTCTTTCAGATGACGCCCGACTGTGCTTTGCACAAGCTTGGAAAGCCGCCTGGTGGCCGCGCCTGGGATCCCAGCGACTCGGGAGGCTGAGGCAGGAGGATCGCTAGTTCAAGGTCAGCCTCGGCAACTTACTTAGCGAGGCCCTGTCTCAAAATAAAAGAAGCTGGGAGTGTAGCTCAGTGGTTAAGCACACCTGCGTTCAATCCCCCGTGCAAGGAAACCAAACCAAACCACCGTGAGCTTGGAGTCCATCTTTGCTCTCTATCCTGTTGTTATTTCTTGTCCCCGATTTCCCCCGGTGCGTGCGTTCACTTGAACATCATATGTACACAGGAATATGCGCACATAGACCTATGTGATTCTGGCACCAGAGATGGGATGGAACCCGGGGGTGCTCCACCACTGAGCCACATGGCCAGCCCTGGTTATTTTCTATTTAGAGACACAGCCTCACCAGGTTGCTGAGGCTGGCCTGGAGCTGCCATCCTCCCTCCTGAGCCTCCTCAGCCCTGGGATGACGGAGGTGCGCACCGTCTGTGTGCAGACATACAGATGCATATCCACTCTATCGCTCCATCTCTATCTCTAGTCACTTGTGGATTTACCAGTTTTGCTTTCCTGTGTTGCGTGCTGGGGTGGAGCCCAGGGCCGCAGGCGGCCAGCGCGGTGTCCTGAGAAGCACCCTGGTCCACCCATCGACCCTACTCTGAGCCGGCCTCACGCCTCCTGGTTCGGCTGCTGGCCATCTTCAAGGTCGGGGATTCTGTCTGGCTGAACCCTGGCACCCCCTGTGGTCCAGAGCGCAGCAGGGTACACAGTAGGTGCTTGATACATTTGGGGCTGGAGGGCAGATGGATGGCAGCCAAGGGGAGTGGGGCGGGGACCTACCTGTGCTGACGTCATAGGCGCCCTGGCCACCAGGGGGCGCTGGAAACCCGGCCACTGGCCGCTGGGCAGCCTCAGTTTTCCAACCCTGCAAAATGGGCAGGGAGTGGACATGGATCGCAGGGGCCAAGAGCGCTGCTGCCCGGGACCCGCCCCGCTCACCACCCGCTGCCTCTGTCCCTCCGCCCCAGCGCCAAAGTCGTAAAGCTTCTGATTTTCATCGAAGGCCAACACACTGCGTTTCAAAGCGGTGCGGAGCCGTCTCTGTCCTGCTGAGAACATGGACAGCCCTTGCCTCCCGCGGTTCCCCCACGGGCCCCTCCTTGACCTTTCTGACAGATTATTTTGACATTTACTTCCGTGTCTCAATCATGACTTTTATGCCACTTGTTGATTTTCCAGTTTCGCTTTTTGGTGGTTTTTTCCAAGTTGCTTCCTGTTCTGACTAGTGTCGTACCTAACCTTGTCCTTCCTGAACTGCCCGGGCCAGCAGAAGGATCTCCGAGTTGCCCTGGCACCTGAGTTGCCCGTGCAGCCTCATGAGGTCACACTGTGCCCTCCCACTGATGCCTGGGCATGTGCATCTGTGGCCGGTCCATGTGGGCCAGGCTGCCTCCAGGGCCCGCACTTAGACGCGTCTCCTCTGGACAGCTCAGGTGTCCCTGCTGTTCACGACAGGGGTCAAGGGAGCTGGCAGGTGTAGGATGCACCACGTGGCCAGTGGTAAGGGAGCAGCTGGGCGCCTGGAGCCCTGGTAGGGCGCACAGCTGTCCCCACAGAACTTTCCAGAACTTTCTCTCCTTCCCACACTGAACCTCTGTCCCTTCAACACTAGCCGGTCCCCTCCCAGCCCCTGGCTCCCACTCTGCTGCTTCCTGTCTCTGTGGACCTGAGGACTCCAGGGACCTGCTGTGGGTGGTCCCTGCAGTGTGTGCCCCTTTGTGCCTTGTCACTGAGCACTGTGTCCTCAGGTCACCTTGTGGCAGGTGTCAGAATTTCTTCCCTTTTCGGGGCTGAGGGTGTGGGTGGGCCACACTGTGTGGACCAGTCTGACGCCTGACACTGTGCCTGTCCCCTCTGGGTGGACTCCCTTCTAGCTGGGCACAGCTAATGGGGGCCCCTTTGCCCTCCCTGGGGCCTTGGACATTTCTTCCCTTTCTTGATCTGCCCCTGGGCCCACCCACAGCCTTGCTGCAGCATCCTCGGGGCCGAGGTCTGACAACCACCTGCCCGGCTTCCTGGTTCCCCTCGGTCCATCCCCAGGCCCCACAGCCCAGACCCCTCCCTCCCGATGCCTGAGAGACGAGGTCCAGGCCTCTGAATCAGGCCGCTCCTCACTAGCAGGGGCCACCCTGCCCCCAGCGGAGATGGTTAATGAACAGAACTATTAATAGCAGCTTATTAACAGCCAGACCAGGACCTCGGGATTCCTGACCGCCGAGCCTCTCCGTAGCAAAGCCATCATGGTGCTTCAGCAGCAGGACCCCTGTCCCCGTGTGCCACCTGCAGGACCCACCGGAGCACCATTCTTGCGCGATCCGGAGCCACTGGCAGGGTGTGGTGTGGGACGGAACCAGGGCCTGGTGTGCGAGCAAGCGCTCACCAGGAGCGGAGTCCCCACCGGTCCCTTGGGCAGGTGGCTAGAGGCACATGCAGGAGAGGACCAGGACGGTGCCTAGGTCACCTAGGTGTCAGGCTGCCAGGAGCGTGGAAGTGAGGGACCTGGAGACCTGGAACCGCAGAGAGCCAGTCCCTGGCTTCAGGAGGCCCCACGCAGACCTCTGAGCCTGGAGTGGACATCACCGCGCACGACTTAGTCTATTTTTAAATATTTATGTCTCAGTCGTAGGTGGGCACAACCTCTTTATTTTATTTATTCATTTTTATGTGGTGCTGAGGATCGAACCCAGGGCCCCAAACACGCGAGGCGAGCGCTCTACCGCTGAGCTCAGCCCCGAAACTTAGCATTTCAAGTAATCATGTGGAGTCTGGGTGCCGTGGCGCACGCCTGTGATCCCAGCCACGGTGAGTGGCAGGAGGGTGGCGAGTTCAAGGCCAGCCTCAGCAACTTAGCAAGACCCCATCTCAAAATAAGGAATAAAAAAGGCAGGGACGTGGCTCAGTGGTAGAGCCCTTGTCCAGCGTGTGCACCACCCTAGGTTCCCGCCCTCCAGTACCAGAAAGTAAAAAGGTGGGAGAGTCATCCACATTAACATTTATGTTATAGTAACACACATTTTGGCTTACTGATGTTAATATTTACATCATATAATATATATATTATGCTTAATAAAATACAACAGATTGTTAGCATATTACATTTATTGTTGATATTCACAAATAATAAGAATTTACTATGTACATATAGATACAAACATTCAAGTATATATGTATATACTTAAGTAATAGAATTTAAAAATATTTTTTTGTTGTAGATGAACACAATATCTTTATTTGTTTATCTTTATGTGGTGCCGCAGATCCAACCCAGTTCCTCATGCATACCAGTCACTGACCACTACCCCTGCCCATCTAGTGTATATTTACCTATGTACATTGTGTTTATATGTGAATGTGCTTCTATAACTCACATAAGTTCATATAAATGTAAATGAGTCCTAGTACATGAATAATGTAAGTGTATTATATATGATGTACAATGTAATTCTTTCCTTATGTATTTGTTACTCATATAGATACATATTATATTAATAGTATCCATGCATTAATATTATCCTATGTAACCATAATATGCAAATGTAAATACTTATATATTTGTGTCACTCATAAAACATAAAATGCAAGCATGATATGAGTAAGGTAAACTCATTATTTAATATAATATGCAAATATACACATAGGTAATTCATACTTCCATACTATTTTTTAAAGAATATTCTTATTAGTCATTTTTTTTGGGGGGGTGGGTACTGGGGATTGAACTCAGGGGCACTTGACCAGTAGCCACATCCCCAGCCCTATTTTGTATTTCATGTAGACAGGGTGGCACTGAATTGCTTAGTGCCTCGTTTTTGCTGAGGCTGGCTTTGAACCCGAGATCCTCCTGACTCAGCCTCCCAAGCCGCTGGGATCACAGGCGTGCACCCGGCTGTTTTTATTAGTGATCGATGGACCTTTATTTATTATTTATCTATATGCGGTGCTGACGATCGAACCCAGTGCCTCCCACATGCTGGGCAAGCGCTCTGCCCCTGAGCCTCGACCCCAGCCTTACTTCCATACTATTTCTATATTATTTATCCAAATATAAGTATTTATTCACGCACGTGATATACACTTTATGGAATACATTATGTATTTTATGTAATAGGAATATTATGTAATGCGATTTACGGTGTTGAGGAATAATGCAGACCCTTGACTGTTTCATGTACAATACATGAAATAACAGGCAGCGCGAAACGTCCCGGGAACAGTGCGTAACCCAAGTGGCGGAACAATAACGCTGCTGCTGTCGGTTGCGAATGTTACCTGCGGCTCCAGCGCACAGCGCTACCCCTGGCCTACCCTGAAGACACCGCGCCGTCCTTCCATCCCTGGACACGCGGGGGCGCTCGCGAAGCTTCCGGCCGGGGCCGCAAAGCCCCGCCCCCGATCTCCGATTGGCGGTATGAGCCGCACGTCAGCGCCTGGCCCCGCCCCGGTCCCGCCCCCGCGCGGCGGCCCCTCCCTCCGCCCTGGGCCGGCGGCGCTTGTTGTTCAGCGGCGGCGGCCGAGCTCGGCTGTTGCCTCGGGCCTCGCCGCCGCCGGTCCGCACGCGGACATGGAGCTGGAGGTGCCGGACGAGGCGGAGAGTGCCGAGGCGGGGGCCGTGCCCGCGGAGGCGGCCTGGTCGTCGGACAGCGGGGCGACGTCAGGTAACGGTGCGGCCGGCGGCGCCCCCCTCGGCGCGAATGGGCCGGCCCGCCCCCCCCGCCGCGGCGCAGTGGGCCCTCCCGGGCGCGGAGGGGCGCGGGGACCCGCGGCCGGCGCGCCGGAGCATTCCACTCGCGGGCGCGCGCGGGGGGCGCCGGGACGCCCCACGCCCGGCCCGGGGGACGCGCCGCGCGGGCCGCGAGGCTGCAGCGCCCCGCCCGCTCTGGGGTCCCTGGAGGGACAGCCGGTCTGGGGGCGGGAGTGGGTGCGGGGCCCGGTCTGGGGCCGGTGGGTGGAGGGAGCCCCTTTTGGAGTTATGCGGGGAAGAGGGGTCCTCGCCCCTGCGGGGACCGAGTCTGGGAAGCAGGGTGGGCGAGCTGCCTCCTGCCGAAGGCGCAGAGGGGTCGGCCTCCCCCGTCTTGTGGGCGAGGGGCTGCTCCGGGTGTGCAGGATGCCGGGGCACCCGCATGCTCGTGGGCGCCTTACCTCCGAGGCGCTTCAGGGCTAGGGGTGACATTGCCCCCGATGCCACCCCCGGCCCAGAGCCACCAGTTTGGGCTGCCCATCTGGCGGTTGTCACCTTTTGGGCCTTCCCCCACAAGCGGTCACCCTGTGGCCGTGGGGGTGGGGGTGGACCTTTGCCTTGGGGCAGCCTCCTGGCCCTGTCATTCCCCCTTCTGGAAGTCTCCAGACTGGGTGCCGACAATGGCTGTCCCTGCCCTTCCTGGCCTCAGCTGACTTCCCTGTGAAACAGGGGCTCTAGGGGGACTGTGTTTTGAGGTGCAGTCCGTGTCAGGGCAAGTGTCCGTCTCCCCGCTGCTGCCTGGCAATGGTGGCGGCACCTGCTGTGCAGGCCAMGGCTTCCTTGGGCCCGGGCCTGGGCTGCGCCTCGCGGGGCGGTGTGCAGAGCCCAGAGAACGGAAGGTTCCTTCTCCGTGAGGTCACAAGCTCCCACACAGGAAGTTACCGGATTTGCAGAACCCCCCCCCCACCAGGCGGCCCTGGCCCRGGGTGGGGGTGTCTGCAGACACCCACGGGCATCCGAGCCCCTGCTTCCACCGGCCCGAGCTTCCTTGGCAGGAAGGCGAGGTGGTGCTGTGCTGCCAGGGCAGGCCCCAGGGCCAGGGCGCCGCAGCCCCCGCCGCAGGTCTGAGGCGGCCCGTCCCCGCTGCAGGCCCCCGCTTCCTTCCCCACCGCCATCTGGAGCCGCCTGCTAGGTGACCCCATTTAGCCCCAGGAGCCACTCGCCCTCCTCCTTTGCTGTCACCTGGTGGCCCGGCCAGCACCAGGCGTGGAGGAGGAAGCCGTGGGCCCCAGCTGGGTCCCTCCTCGCCCTCCCAACTTCTGCTTGGGGCATCAGCCCTCTGCTTGGGCAGCTCAGGGACACAGCGGCCTCAGACCCACTGACCACAGGAAAGCCACGCAGCAGACATCTGCCTTATCAGGGACTCTGTGATCTGACTGGGGACAGAGAGTGGCTGATCTGAGCAGGGAGCTGGGCGATAAGGAGGGGCCTGCCCTCCTGTCCCAGAAATTCACAGGAACACGACCCACCAGTGCCAGCTGGGCACGGCTCCACGCTGCTGCCCCTGGGAACTCCTTCTGCCCACCTGGGCGTGGTGACAGTCCACGCCCCTTCTTGCTGCCCTGTGAGCACGCATATCAGTGGACACCCGGGAGTGGTCACGCYGCAGCGGCCCCCCCTCCCCACCAGGCTGCCTCCTGCCAGTGCCTCCGCCCGGCACCATGGCATTTGGGGCTGGAACTTTTTTATTTTAAGGGGCGTCCCTGGCCTCCTCCATGCGAGGGGCTCTCCAGCCGTGACAGCCACGGGTCCAGACGCCGTGCAGCCTGCCTGGCAGGGTCCCCACGAGGACCGCTGCGCCTCGTCTTGTGACTCGTTGCTTCCCATCTGCAGCATCTGGGCCTCCTGCCTGGTGTCTGTCCCCGGGAGGAAGCCCAGGGCAGTCCTGCTGGRTGACACTTCCAGCCCGGCCCTCCATTGCTGTGTGACTTCACCTCTGCGCATGGTCTCTGGGCGGGATGTGGGGTGGGGACCGCACTGTCTGTGCCCACTGCTGCCTGCCAAGGCCTCTGCATTCGGGGCTTCGTCCAGCCCCTGCTGGGGCCTGTCCTGGTGGGTTGGCTGCTGCAGCAGGGTCACCTGTGTGTCCCTGAACATGGGCCTGTGACTGGTGCGTAGTGCTGGCACTCGGTGTCCCAGCCATGCGGTGTCTGGGTCAAGGGCAGGAAGACTGAAGAGGCACTCGGTTCCCGGGGCCACCGTGGCGGTTCCGGCCAGTCTGATGGCGGGTGAGACGCTTCTCACTGGTGCTTAGAATCTGGTCACTCGGAGGGTTCCTGGCTCCTGATGCCCAGCCTGGAGCAGGCTGCCCGGCTGGCCTGCGGCAGTTACTGTGGCACATGGGGGCTGTCCGGGGTGCCTAGGTCACGGCTGGGCTCCTGGGAGGACTGGAGGCTTGGGGGACACTGCGGGGCCTGCCCGTGGCTTGGCCTGAGCTCTGGTCTGGGTTCCTGAGCCCTCCCCTGCCACCCTGTCTCTGAGGCCGCAGAATAGTGGCCTCATCCCTGCCCCACCCCCACATCTAATCTGGTGAGAATTATGTCAGCTTTGCCTTCAAAACCAAGGCCGGGTCTGCCCACAGCTCCGGCACCTCGGCCTCCACCTGGTGCAGCCACAGCCTCCACCAGTCTGCACCAGCGCCTCGGCTCCACCCCCCGCTTCCTGCCTCTTCCTCGAGACCCCTTAGGACTGGCCCAGGTCCTGCCTCCCCTGCCCACAGCCCTGCATGCGCCCACTCGCTCAAGGTCAGAGGCCAAGTCCTCCCTGTAGCCCACAGAGCCCTGCATGACCTGCCCCATCCCCTCCCTGCTCCCGCCACGTGGGCTGCTCCTCCAGCTCACCAGGCTGGATCCTGCCCCAGGGCCTTTGCATGGGCTGCATCCTCTTCCTGGAATGTTCTTTTCCTGGATCTGGGTCATTGCATCCTTAGCTCCTCAGAGTTTTGCTCACTTCTGTCTCCGGCCTCCCGGGCCTCCAGCCCCTCCCTCTGCCCCTTGCCGTGCCCTCCCCACCGCAGCACTGTCACCTCCCAGCATGGTTGGCTCTACAGAGCTCCTGTCCCTCAGGAGAGCTCTGGGGCACTGGCCAGTGGGCAGCACTCCCAGGTGCCTGGCTCTGGAGCGGCCCAGCACCCCACAGGTGAACYGTGGCTCCAGGAGCACCAGGGCGGGCCCTGTGAGGTGGCGGGGTGGCAGGTGGCCTGCCAAGGAGGGCCTGCTAGGAGCCGCGTGCTGCCTAGGCGGGATGCCCTCAGTGCCTCCTCCAGGAGAGGGCAGCAGGCCCGGGTCCAGGCTGACCTGGGGCAGAGAGCTCCCAGGCACCCCTGGCCGCTTCCTGGCCGTGAGACTGACCCCAGGGCCTCCCCTTGGAGAGGCCCCCCGTGGGGTGTGGAGTGCCCTCGGGGCGGCTGAGCTCCTTCCCGAGCTGTGGCCAGAGGGTCTCCCCCGCTGCCCCTGAGCGTGCAGAGGGCAGCGAGGGAGACAGGGCCAGGGTCAGCGACGGCCGCAGTGTCCAGGGAAGCTCTGTCCGCCCGGGGCCCGTACAGCCTCCCCCAGAACTGAGCTGAGAGGTGGGACCTGGACACCCGACCCACGAGGCCAGAGGTACCCAGTCTGCGCCCCAATACGGCCACCACACAGTGGGCAGGAGAAGAGGGGGACCGGGGTGACGGGAGGGCAGGGCAGGAGGCGGCTGGTCTGCCGGCGGGAGGAAGAATCGGCTGCCGGGGTGCGCGAGTCGGCGGTGGCGGCACAGCTGTGCGAAGGCCCTGTGGCAGGACGAAGTCAGGGTGGGGACAGCAGCCAGGCGGGGCCCGGCAGGTAACGTGGCTCTGTCCTGGGGACAGTGAGTGGCCCTGTGTCTTAGAGGCTCCCTCTGGCCCCGTGGCAGGCAGGGTGCAGGGCAGCAGGGCCCTGGAGGGTTGGGGCTGAGCATCCCCAAGGCCAGGGCAGGGGCGCCCTGGTGGGGCGCCGAGGGCCGTGTCGGGACGCACCTGGCAGCCCTGGCCTCTGAGCAGCGGCTTCCCTTTTTCCTCTCCAAATGAGGCCAGCGGAGCCCAAGGGCGCCCTCGGCCAACGGCTGGCCATCAGTCCCCAGAAGCCTGCTCTGGGGACCCAGTGCAGTGAGCCCAGAAAGGTCCCTGTGCTGGGGGGTGGACGTGCAGATGCTGAGCAGAGGCCCGTGCTGGATGTCACCAGGCGGGTCAGATGGTCTGTCAGGAGCAGAGCCTGGTGGCCTGCGCCGCGGGTACCGGGCAGGGCAGGCGGGCACTGGTGGGGTCCAGCTGGGTGCAGGGTGGGTGCTGACCTGGCTCCCGCGTTTGCCGGGGACCCCTGGCTGACCCCGCAGGGCCGCCCCTGCTGGGGGCCAAGACATGGAGGTCCTTAGACCCTGGGGATCAAGGGGCAGGGTGTGTCCTGTCTTGAGCCGCCCAGGCCCCGCCGCCTGCTGTCACTGCTGCCAGCCCTGGGGTGCGTGGTGACTTCTGGTGTCCCTTCTGGTGACTTCCAGTCTGTTCAGTGGGAATCAGGGGAGGAGCCCGGAGGTGTCTTCTCCTCTCTGATGCTCCTGTCTCCTGGGCTCCGGGAGCGGGCAGCCAGGGCTCCCTCCCCACTCCAGCAGTGACCTGTCTCTCAGAGCTGGGTAGGAGGGTCACTGCATGGGGACAGGCCCGCCTGGGTTCCGGGCCCTGGGTGGTCCTTCCTGCTTTGCAGCCCAGCAGCTCCTGGTTGATTCCCGGGAGCTCTTTGCATATGGCGCGCCCTGCCATCTGTGGCCGAGCACGGGCAGTGCGCTCCACCTCCTCTCGTGCCGCGGGTGTTGGTTTTCCACGGCGACCAACTTCCCTCTGGGCTTCCTTCCCTGCGCTGGGGTTGTCTAAGGTCTCTTCCAGCTGGTGGACCCTCCCCTGGGGGTGTC